TCCATACCAGATAGAAGGATCTACATTTCATTTTTAAAACCGGAAATAAATTTGCTATTAAACCTCAATGTCGTGCACGAGTTCCAATCTTATTCATGTGATAACCTGTGCCGGTTCCGGTGAAAATTATATCGGTCAGAAGGAGACACCTTAAGACGCAAGATGACCGTACACCGACAGCAAATTAGGGAACCAAAATACCAGTGTACCCCTGTCAGTGACCATATTAGAAACTGTGCCAAGAAGAAAAAGCCCAATTTTACCGTTTTGCCCTTTTACAAATTTCGAAGGAATACCACAGAGAGAGAACGTGAAACCAAAGAAAAACTTTTAATTGACAGATAAAAACCTGTTCTAAATGCTACATGATTATATTTTGTATCAGATAAATACTTTTTCCCGCCATATATATCTGTATTATTAGTATGAAAAATTTTTATTTCCCGCATTAAATTACTTACGTTATGTCATAACGTCATAATTAACTTTGCTAATGCGTAAATTAATATTAGCGCTTTTTGACGTCACAATAAGAATGATGATTTTGTATTTATGTGTAACTAAGCAATATGTTGTCGAACTCCTGAAGTTTGAAAATGAAGTGACGTAATAGTTGAGCGGTTGAGACGTCATATAGCTAACCGATTTCGAGATTGATAAACGTTGTAAACATAGATTTTTAACGACATATTTGGGAAAACGTTGGCAGTATAACTATTAGTCTCTGTCAGGATGGCTCATTAACTCTATCTTATAACAGGCCAGGGAATTTTTAAAAACACTCTTCGTGAAGAGAAGGAGATTTGTAAGTTTTGCCTCACTTCTGATATTCTCACACTGTGAGAATACCACTTTGATATCCTTTCACACTGTGCAACACTGTTTCACACTGTGTCAGTTTATTCAGTAAATAAATTACAGTATTTCACTGTTAAAAATATTATATATATATATATATATATATATATATATATATATATATATATATATATATATATATATATATATATATATATATATATATATATATATATATATATATATATATATATGAAATATATGGAGATAACGAACAGTATTCAAGCTCAAAAGTCCATAATACAATACAAAGTAGGAACAGAGCAAACACGGACCTCCAAACATCAGAGGTGGGATCAGGTGCCATGGAGGAGTGAGCATCCCCTGCCGACCGGTCACACCCGCCGTGTGCTCCTTGTCTTGATCGGGAAATAACGGAAAAATCCGTCGACAATTCAGTGTGTTAATAATGGCCTAACAATTAGTATGAAAAACGTCAGTCAGCATTTGACTTAATGATAAATTGTATTTGCTGACAAGGTCATTGTATCGACCATAGAACTTACGAAATGATGACTTTAAACGAGACAGCTGATATATATATATATATATATATATATATATATATATATATATATATATATATATATATATATATATATATATATATATATATAATTCATCACAAATTCAGTTATTGAAATCTATAAGATAATAATCACACTATAAAATAATGTATATAATTTATTATAATTTTATTCCTTCATCTTCTTTGACTAGATATAATACAGCTTTCTGTTTATTCCAATAAATTGGTAAGAATAGAAAATGGTACCTTTTGGTACAAAAATAATTTATGTTAAATTGACCTGAGGCACATTTATCTGTGCCGATTTACAATAGTATCAGACATTTATACAATGATGTACAGGTATTATCACATATCTCCCATAACAAATTACATGATTTCACATGTACATTTCATTGAAAGTCGTAGATTTTATATAATACACAAAGAGGCTAAGAAAAGAATTCTCTGAAAAGCATGTTCCTGTTATATTTCATTAAATATGAATATCACTTTGAAATCTCGTATACATGTAGCAAAATGATTTACAAGATTAATTCAAACTAATTTTGATAACGTTGGTGTTTAATAAAACAATAGAAAAAGACCAACATGTATTACACATGCATTATGCACGGAAACTGTTTGCGATTAATGGATTTAATTATTTTGCAAATGAAACAAATGTAATGCGGTGCAGTCTCTATGCATGCAGTCTCAGCAAATAAAAAATAAGCATACATTTTGTAATAACAAAATGCATGTTTTTTTTTTAATTTGGCTTTTATTTGTTTCCGTGTTTGTTTGTTTTGTTTTGATTTAATAAAAACATTGAAAATGTGAATATTCATGGAAAATTTATTGTCCTTCTTAACGATATCTATACCAAAAACTAGTTGACATATGGCATTTGATAATGACAAAAGTACATTTGTATCCATCTTAAAAAGGCTTATATTTTTCTTGTATGTCATTCAATACGTCGATTAAATCTGCTATAATGAACGTCGTTATGTATAAATAAATGTCTTGCATTTTCAATACCATGCATGATGCAAATTTTACAGACAATAAATCGGAAAGACTAAAGGAGTACTTGAGTAAGTACATGTAAGCAAAAAATTATTCATTAAAGTGGCATGTATTGATATACAATTACACAACATATTTTACAACGATAAATTTAGTTTCTTACATTCGGCCCAAAGGACGTATATGCCACAGTTGAAATTTTGACAAGACATAGATAAACACATGAATGAAGATAAAGTGATATTAGAATGTCCTTTCGTGAAGTTCTGACGGGTTTTAAGAGCATCAAATATATAAGTAGCAGATTGCCTGGGAAATTTAGATAGAGTACGTAAATAGAATGTATTATCAAATAACACATTTGAGCACTTATATATTAAATCCTATTTTGCGGAAGACGTTTTTTCTCTTATTTTCATATAATGTTCAATGTAGTAAAAATATATTTCGTTTTAAATTTCATTTTTTTTTTTTTTTTTTTTTTTTTTTTTTTTTTTTTTTTTTTTTTGCAAAATTGACAAACTCTGTCTTGAGGTGTCTCAAATTTTTAGTGTCCAATTTCAACTCGAAGCGGTAATACACCGCAAAGAACACTGCCATCACTGATCGTATAGATTTAGGTAAGAATATACTGACGAACTCCTCCAGCCCATACAGCTTTTTGAGGAGACTATTTCGAAGATTTTAGCTACAAGTACCACAGATAAAAGACTGATTCCACGATAATTAAAAAGTATTAAGGTATTCTAGGATCCGACTTGTTGTCTTTTATAATTTTGCATAATATATGAAAGTTATTTTAATATCTGTTTTTATGAAGACGAGTGTATCCTATTTATTTTTAATTTTAATCAAGTTTTATTATTTCCCGTGTGTAGCCTCATGTAGTTTGTAATCTGTGTAGCTTTACGCTAAGCATGTGGTATAATTCCAGTATGAAAGCATACCCGAAATATTTTATGCAATGTTTTAAATTTCATATGACAGTTCATCCACTCCGGAATATAAGATTGGCAATGGTAATATTTTCTACAAATTAATTTAAATGTATTTTTAACTTCGTATCTTTCATGTTTTCCTTGAAAATGAGATCAAATTTCTCGCTTTGAGCAACAGTAAAACGTGATTTCCAATCACCCACAGTGCCTGTAAAATAAACAAATACTGCAGATGAAAAGATTTCAAACTTTTATGCTTGTATATGCAATAAAAACCAGACTTCGAAGTGATCGTGTATATTTCAATTTCTACTTCTTCAAAATATATGAAAAGATTTCAAACTTATTATGCATGTATACAATAAATACCAGACCTCGTAGATATCATTTATATTTTAATTTCTACTTCTTCAAACAAAAACAAATCTCGGTCAAGTTCCTCACATACATTTGTAATTTATACCCTTAGTTTCAACTTTTGCATTGGGAAAGGGTGAGTTTAACAGCTGTATAAAGCTTCAAAAAAAATGCTAAATTCTGTTCTTTCTGTTTTATAACATTTTCTATAACTTCGGATATCAATTGCGAATAAAAGGAGAAACCAATTCATTCTTTTTAATCTGATAATATTTATATCCATTGACTATTTTCTCCTTTATTTCTTAAGAATATACACATTACGTATTACTGTCATATGCAGCTATAACAATAAGTGAATTTTTAACTAGTTAGATCCGGTAATTGAAAACCATTTGTAGCTCCAAAACTGCCAAATACATGTATGAAATAAGTGTTAAAGGTCTACTATTTTATGGCCCTTCAACCTTTTGTAACGTACGGATTGATAATACATACTATTAAATACAAAATTCTCCCCGTTTTATCCTTAAAAGATATAAATATAAGCAACAAAATGTTTCAGTTTCTTTACTCGTTAATACGGGTATTAACGATATCAATCTTTTCAGAAAAAAATCACAACTCTTTGAAGCGGGTTAAATTTCTCTTGTGCTAGGTTAACGTTGAAGTTGTTGTATCCCGTATGACATTCGGTAGTGGAAATTAAAGTAACCTGTTTACATCACAGCAATGACTGAGTTGAGAGCTCACTTCTTGTACGGAAGATTGCTAGTTGAAACCCTGAAACCTTAAACTTGGTAGTGACTGTTTTTTTAATATCTGGCATTAAATGTTTAAGTCACAAGACTTTCGGACAAAACATAAAACACAGACTCCATGCCCGGTCTAAATTCCTATCTTTGTTGGCTCGACTCTAATGTCTGACTTTCTTAAAATGACAAAATATCAATTTACAGAATGATAACTAAATTGTTAATTCTACCTTTCCTGTAAATAAATTCATCAGGCGTGCCCTTCCTTCTCTTTTGCACTTCATTGAAGGAACATTCATTGTATACAGCTTGCAGGAAAGTAGGATCAGATGGCAGACCAAGAAAACTAGAGATGCGAGTCAACGTTTCCAGCCCATTCTTAAGTAAACGTTTATATATATATATATATATATATATATATATATATATATATATATATATATATATATATATATATATATATATATATATATATATATATATATATATATATATATATATATATATCACATCTAAAAATATCTGCAAAGTTTGCTCTAATTTATGGAATTACTAGTTATGCAAACATATCTTTATCAGATCTTCATAGTAAAGAACCAAAATAATCCCTGGTTGTTGCAGTGCTGCATCTTCCCACTCTTTTTCTCTTTTGAACCAGCTTCCATAAATATATTCTTTACACATTTAAAAGAAAAATCAATAACAGAAGAATAAACACAGGTAATAAAAGATTACTCAGCTCATCTCAACGAATGTTATCTCTAAGTACGGCAAAGTCCCACACTGGTCCAGATAAGGCTTGGAGTTACTCGGGAATGGACTTATCCCAAAAACTTAAAAACTTAAACTGGTCACTCATCCAGAAAATACTAGTCGGATCTGGCATACAAAGCAAGTCTGTTAGAGTACTTCACTAGAAGCAAAATCCAAGCTAGTTTGGTCTTGGGAGGGCTTGAATTTACACTGCATTGATCCTGCTGCATAAACTTAAACCTAATCATCCAGAAAATGTAGGTCAAATCCAGCATCCGAAGCAAGTCTAATTTTGTATATCCATATATGTATCACCTGTGTAAGTTTGGTCAATATGGGGCTTATAGTACCTGGTCATTCTTTGGCTGAAAATGCAGCAATTGAAGCCTGGACTGGTAAAATGAAACACAATGAAAACATTATCCATGCAACTCTGATCAATGAAGTATGTGGAGATAACGAACAGTATTCGAGCTCAAAAGTCCATTAAACATAACAAACTAGGAGCAGAGGAAATATGGACCTATAAGACATCAGAGGTGGGTTAGGTGCCATGGAGGAGTGAGCGTCCCCTGCCGACCGGTCATGGATGTACTTGTCAGAAAAGAATTCTGCTTCAAAAACTTTAACCTGAGACGCTGAGGGTATTACATTAGCTCCCCTAGCTTCGTTGAGGTAAGCTAAAAATAGTGAAATCTTATTCTAAAAGAATCCTTAATTTACGTGGCTACAGCTGTACAAAATCATTGAGGAACTTAAGATTACTGAAGTATTGAAACAATTTATATGTAAATTACGATGAAATAAGACTCAAATTAGATGGAGATATATCGATGACTCAATGTTGTCATCAATAAAACATTACATTACGGAACCCATTTTGTTGTGATGCACAGTGATACTTCAAAAACGTCACTTAATGATTTTTTATGTCGCTGACGAATGCCGCTGAAATCGTAATAGTCCCTTTGATTTAGATGCCCGATTTCAACTTTAAACCTAAGCATACATAAGTGGTTATGTATATTTAACAAAACTGTAGTTAGAATTTTGACATGAGCATAATGTAGGGTTTAAAAAAAACCTATTCCACTGCAAATCTCGATACCACTTCACTCTTTTACAAATTTCAAGAGGAAGGTTTTACTTGCATAAGCATTCCGAGTTCATTGTATGGAATATAGAATTTTTTTCCTATATTAAAAGAAAACAAACCTTCTCGCAATGAAATGCGTGAATCTTGTATCATACCATATATATTATGTCGCAGAAAAATAGATTAATTTCCGTAACTTTTTGTTTTAAATTGCACAAGCTATGCACCGGAATTTACCTAAAAGTGACTACAGAACCTAATTTGCGAATCAAATACTTTTTCGGCATAATAAAATAAATAAGATAAAAATTGTGGTCTCTTTTAAGAATTTTACTTCTAACTTCGAAATATATAATATTTTTGATATTTTAAAACAAAATGTTGATTATACATATATTTATTGCCAAGAATTATAACTTTAATTGCTGAAAATTAACTTCCATACCGACTTTTTCCTCGAGATTTTAACTTGATGCCAGATTCGTGCGATGTTTTAAAAATCATGTTTTACCGTTCTATATACATGTAGGAACGTAGCATCGTTTTTTCGAAAGTTTTTCAAAGGGGGGGGGGGGGGGCAGATAAACAAAATTATCAACTTATGTTTAAAAAAATTTGACAAGCAAATAAAAAAAGGGAACTTGGTACAAACTCGAGAATCCTTTTTCGTGTGGTTTGGTGGTGGGGTGGGGATGGAGGGGTACGAAGGTTCCAACTTTTTTATGTTCCAAATTTTATTCATACACTACTACGTTATTCTTAATTGACAACAAGTCGGCGGGGGGGGGGGGGGGGAGGCAACCGGTCTTTCAATGAACATTTTCAATAGTAAAAAGTTATGTTTGGAAAAAAAGAGGACAGCCCCCCCACCCCCCTGATGCTTCGTGTCTGCTATACTCAAATAATAGGTCCTTTTCAGGTTTATTTAAAAAAAGATTACTGTTTACGCATCGAATTCCGTACCATTTCTTTATGACCGCGAGTATATCGAAATTGTTGTAATATATTTACGATTAAGATTTATTTAAAAAAAATGAATACTGTTTAAGCATTTAATTTCGTAACATTGCCTGATGACCGCGGATATAGTGAAATTGTTGTGATATATTTACGATACCAGATTTTGGATAACAATTTCCAAGTCCACTGCTATGTCCTTTACATAATTATACTGTTCAATAGGCTATGTTTTCATGTTAGATATCCTGAAGCGGTCCTTTTATCGTAGAATGCTGTGCAGTACCTTCATGTCTCTAAAGGTCTCATATATTGATTATTTCTTACGAATTTCCCACACTCCTCTTGTATGCTTTCCCTAAGTTGTTCTTTTTTTTATGAGGGAAGGCTATATTTCAATAAAGTGTAATACTTATACCTCCACGAAAGAACTCATCCAAAAACACAGACCAGTCAGTGGATACAAAATCCTTAAGGTATGGACCTTTGATGTAATGATGAAAAGCGGATACGGCTACATCTTTGGGGTTTCGGATAATATGGATAATTTCCCCGTTGTTTTGTATGTGTTCTTTTGGCAGACATCGAAATGGAAGATGTGACGTCATGACTCTAGGAGAGGGCATCGATTCTAGAACCTGTAGATCGGTCACGTACTCCAAAAAAGTGTATATCAACCTGTGGGAAGACTCAACTGTTCCTTGCAAAAGACGAGGGACGATTTCATTCAGCCAATGGTTTCCTAGAAAATTAAAATATGTTAATACATGTTTTATAATTTCAAAACATTATTTATTAAAATTGCTGAGGCTGGCTACTGTTTACTGTAGGTCTGCATCAAAATTTTTGCCAAAATCAAAGCCAAATACTCTTTTGTGCTGTGATAATCGAATTTTGTTGTATATCAAGATGTAAGTAACACTAACAGAGTTCGTGCAATTTGTGTTTTATGATAATCATTTGTTTAATGATAATATAGACTAAGTGTTACCCAGGGACAGTCTCTATTTTTATCTAGTTAATTTTTTCTGGCAGATTTTTTTCCCGTCAGTGCTATCTCTACCTCCGTGATAATTATTCATGGAATTTTTGTTATTCAACTTGCTCGTTTAATTTATGATTTCTAGATGTACCAGTTGAAAATAATTTTTCTCCTGAAAAAATCATTTTTCAACGCGTCAACTATATCTTTACTTTTTAAAGGATGACTGCACTTATGCCTGTTTTTGGGTCTTTTTTTCGGTTGCTTCTGTTGCTTTTATATCTCAACCTTATTTCACTTTTGTATGTTTATGAAAGAATCCTGTCAATTTGGAACCAAATTTAAATCTTAAAATGATTTTAGACTGTGATTCAATGTTTTTTGTTCTTACTGCTTTCCAAATATAGTGAATTTAAACTTACCTGCCCTTGATTGAACATTGCATATGCATGAGAGGTGGAGCTTACATTGTAAGAATGGGTCTAAAATTAGACTTGATAAATAACAGTGACATGTTCATGATGTTTGAAAAAAAGAATGTGATCACTCTTTCCAATCTCCCTCTCTATTCTGTATGGCACAAATACAATTCTGACAAAGGTTTCAAAACGAAATTAACAATATGAGCACGTCAATTTAATTAAAGCAGATTTTATATCAATGCCAGATGACTTAACATGTTCGAACATGTTCTAGTCAGCACAAAACATGCTACCTTACAAGTCACGTGACGGAATTTAGTATTCACAAAGTTACCTGAGGTAAGAAATCACGTGGTGAATTATAATATTCAACATGTCACAATGATTAATTACAACACAGAGAGCGAATGTAAGAAGAAGCAGTTTTTTTCTCTTTTTAACCATGAGTCCATGTTTGTCTATTAATCTCCTTTTGACACATTATTATTTATGCAAATATACAACTACTCTTAAACGTAGAGCAATAGACAAACATGCGCTGAGTATGTATAAAGTCAGTAAAAGTGGGACGTCCTCATTATCGAACGCAGTTTCAAGAAATTGTGATGACACCTGCCTTTGAAAACAGATTCGAACTTCGTAAATACACACTTTTATTAAACGTAATTACATAAAGTTGTAGATTGGATGTTGACCATTCTTGCTATGAAAAGAAAAATGGTTGTTTTGAAAGTTTATTTTGTCGCAAATTTCGCATGTCCTTAAGTGCAGTCATCCTTTGGGTATATTCCTTTTACTTTTGCTACTAGTAGGAAAATAACAAATAGAAAAGAAAATAACAAAAAAAAGAACCATATCAGTTCTGTTATCATTTTTTTAATAACATTGTATGGGTTATATCATGCCCAAGACTTTTACAGTAATATTATTTAATTTTGAGTCTTTTCGTCAAATTTTAATTCATCTCTCTGTGTTCTTTTATTGTATTTCTTCAATAGTGACCTTATAACCATTGAATCTTTTCAACTAGATAAGGGAGAGTATAATTTTCGACAATACCCCGTCAGTCATGCCGGGTGATCTGAAATTAATGCCAGGTCATGAACAAATACTTATCACATGTGTGTTTGAATTCTAAATGTATCTTTTCAACATCACGTGCATTGTGGCTTCCCTAAACTTCACACCGTAACCCATATGTTTCTGACGTATGTGTCAAATAGTGAAACCATAGTTTTAATAATTAAACTCAAAAGACTAACCTCAGATCTGAGATAAAACATTACTTTTCTTCCTTGACTGATTATTTTTGTGTAACATTAAAATTTCCGTTGTAATTGAATAAAAGACCGAGGTACATAAACTTATATCTTCAGCTTTTATTTGCGTATTATGTACACTAAATCACCTTTATTCGCGAGAACTTTATTTTCGCGTAATTACCAGAGAAAATGCGCTCTGGAAAATTTAATGATCGCGTATATTAGTATTCCACATAGTTTTCTTCTGTTTCTAAAAATAACATTTTATCTCTCTCAACATTAAGCTGTTAAATTAAGCTGTTAAATATTACATGAATATCCTAACTGTATCCGTATAATCATTGAATCCTTTCAGGGAAATAAAGGACCATGTATATTCTACAATACCCTGCCAGTCGTGCCGGATGAATTCTGGGATTAATATCAGGTCATGAACAAATACTATATCACATGTAATTTGGAAAGGTTCATAATTTGGACTCTGGGTCGAATAGTTTTGGAACAAGGCTTACCTGACTTGGGATAGGAACTGATCAGAACATCATCTTTCCTCATAGTTAAGTTTTCAATGTCTCTGAGGCGTTGATTGGCATCTTGTTGAAGTGGTTCCGGCAGAATTATTCCGTCAACTCTGATCTTCTCTTTACTCGCCATCATACTATGGCCACCAAGACGTGAAATCAATACTGCTGCTTGATCGTTGTCGTTGTATATACTTACTATTTTCAGACAAAGATCGTTCTAAAGACAAAGATTCGTATTAGTTTTAGTGTGTAAATGGCAGAGGAAGGAGATGCCCTCTGGATTTATAACATTGAACTTTGAGGATTATGAAATATTATATTTTTGAACTTCTAAACATATCGAAAGAGGTCAACCTATTCACCAATCCATTAGTGATCGTTGACTGTGCTCTGCATTCTTTCAAAGATTCAAGTATTTTTGTACTAGGTCATTTTTTATACCTTGTCGTGGGAGTAACGTGTTTGTCTGTATCAAATTGTATTTCGCAATCATTATCATTACAATATATAACAGAAAATTCTTCCAATCAGTATACCCAACAAGCATTATACATGTATGTGCAGAGAACTAAATAAATTTAATTAACAGCCCCGTCATTGGTCAGCAATCATATGGATATATCGAAAGAATCTTCTGCTTAATCTAGTACATTGCTAATGGTATATATGTATTTGTATATATATTTATATCCAGCACCTTCAGAAAGTGCTAAATCACATCTATGCTAATTTGTTGTAAAATTAATATCTGCTAAATATCGTACATGCTAAATATTGTAAGACCTATATAATGTACACGTAATATAAAATTTTAACATCATTTAACTCTGTCATACTGTATTTTATTATGTAATTTATTACTGCATCTTTGTAAATCAATTATTTCAATTGCTTTGAGACGGTTTCTGTTTTTTAGAACATGTTCATGTATTTATTCTATTTATAGCACATGCCGATATATAAATAATCTATTTTCTAATTTAATTCAGTATTTAATGAATTGGGTCACTTACCTTTTAAAACTACATGTTTTCTTGTGATTATTCATGAACTGGGGTGAGATATTATAATCTTAAAGAACTGTAATAGCGCTATTTTTTGTTCTGGATACTCTTGTTTACAACCCGCTGCCATCTTTGTTGATGTGTCGTACATACTAGCCAGAATTTTGCATTTTATATTCCTATGATTTTCTAATCGTCCATTTATTAGAAATAATTAGAAGATTAGTGCTCAAACGATTGTTACGAGTTATTTATTATTGTTAGACAGTCACTTGTACCTTCAATAGCTTATCATTGTGCTCTTATTTGACAGTACTTTATTGACATCGTTTGCAATAAGATCAGATGATTTTATGACAATTATACATATTTCTAGGAACGAAGTATTTACTTACAAAATAGGATAATATAAAGCACAATCATATTAATTTGTGCACATATTTGTAAATAAATAATTATAATGATAAAAAGGCTAGATTTGGGGGGGGGGGGCTATTGCTATGACATGTACATTTTAATTTGTTAATCTGTACATTGAATATCCTTTATCTGGAAAACTGTTAAATCAAACATTTTTCGCCAACTTCATAGCTATGGTTTAAGGTATGCAACTCTCATGTTAATTAGGAACATTATATATAATAAACAAGATTTGGCCACTGTTAAAACTGTTTTTAAAGACAAAAAATGTCATTAGCGGACCTTAATGAAATACGTACATGTGTGTACTGTATTGTGTTCTCAGAATTTATCTGAAGTTTTTTTTAACAGTTATAAATGAATAGATTTGCTCAAATCTCTATTTATTTTAATTAGTGTATCTTTTTTTGCATTCTTTGTTCAATTTTGTATTGTGTTTCCTCTGCTATATCTAGATGTTTGACATTATGAAAAGTATTAAAAAGAGCACTAAAATATAAAAACTTGAGCAAGTCCATTATAAGTATTTTATTTTTAAAATTAAAAAAAAAAAAAAAAACAATGCTTGAAAATATTTTAAAATAAAATATTGGTACTTTTAAATCAATTTTTTTTTCAACGGAAAATAGTTTCTACTTTTATTTTATGTTCCGTTTTCATGAAAATTTACCGTTTACTTTGTACATGTATATTTCCTGTCGATTGCTAGTCTTGATAATGAGCAATTTTGAAAACAGGAAGCCTAGATCTATTGTGGATCTGTATTATCCAAGAACTGCATTGGTGATGATTCTTCTGTAACACTGGGTTTTCCACTGTCTGCTTTTGTTTCAAATGTGACAAATAATAAAGTCCCTTAGGTAGCACACCTAAAGCGTGCTACCCCTCCAACGCCGGCGGACCGACGATGGAGGGCGAGTACCCCGTTTGTCTACACCTAGTTCTTACTGAGCAATTATTCAAGCCTTCTTTGATCTGTAAATGTTAGTTTATTTGGCTATCATCTCTTTTCCTTAACTGAATTCTTCCATTTTTCAGTATTTTGTACCATAGCGAAATACTCAGTTTCAGAAATATTTATGCCTTAGCTATGCCTTACTAATACATATCTTATATAGGTTTTCTGTTTTCAAAAGCAGTAATTTTAAACAATAGCAAACGACAGGAGATATATAAAATAAACAGGAGGATATCCCTGAAAATTGTATGGATCATTAAAAAGTAGAGGTTATTGTCATTTAATAAAAATATTAACATAAACATATGAAATGTTAATAATCCGATATATTGGATCAAAGTTAAACAAAAATTTTCTGGGACCACTATAGAAGTCTTTGATGAATGCTGAACCAGGGTCAAAGACAAAAACATGTTGTTGAATCATAATTCTTACAAATCTGGATCTTGAAGCGACTTCATTACTTCATTACAAAGTTTCCACTGTGTTTGTTTTCACAGTACATGTATATTTGCGATAAATTTTATTGATTTTTTTTAATAACCGGAAAAGTAAAGGTCGATACATACGCTGCTATTAATCCCATGCAACTAACCTCATGGAATAAATTGCAGCATGTGTACCGGCTAAATATCATTTGCAATATATTTTTCTCGATGACATAATTCTTTTTTCCTGGAATAAAACACTGCTGTTTCATACAATTGTTATCAGCAGCAACCATTCAGAATTTAGAAAATCTAATCTAGAGCTGCAATATGTGCTGCATTTTTGAGAATTTAATTTTGTTGTTAAAATGTGCTATTTTGATAAATGTTAAGTACATATGTAATTTAAACCTTTTTGATCAATTTCATTTAAATAAAGAATTTTTTTTCCTGAAGAAAGACTTCTGTACAATCGAATATATAGTATTACATAATTAAGAAATCAATATCAAGCAGGACAGCAATGATGTAATTCTGCTTCAAACAAAGCATAAAAATAATTCTTCCATCGCAAATATGAACAACAGAAATTTATAAACGTTCTTATTTCCTGTCAATGAAATTAAAGTTAAATACAATTTTGCAAAAAAAATTCCCAACATCGAAGTTGCAGCTCATATTGCTTTAAAAACAAAGGCTAAAATACATAATGATGAAAGTGATATGTTCTGGACTAAGAATTTAATATATTTTTCCACCATTTTTTCTTCCAAAAAACTTTTAAAGACTATATATATATATATATATATATATATATATATATATATATATATATATATATATATATATATATATACATATATATATATGTGTGTGTGTGTGTGTGTGTGTGTGTGTGTGTGTGTGAGGGTGTGTGTGTGTGTGTGTGTGTGAGGGTGAGGGTAGGTGTGTGTGTGTGTGTAAGGGTGTGTGTGAGGGTGTGTGTGTGTGTGTAAATTAGGAGGAAAAATGAAATAAAAAGATGTGTTTGTGTTACACTGATACCCCCGTTTGGCCGCTGATTACAAAGTTTAAAGTTTATCAAATGCAATGCAATTAAAAGTCCAAGGTCAATAGATCAAAAATGTTGTTACTCAAAGATAGGACCTGTGTCACTGGATATACCTGGTAAATATGAAAGTCCAAGCATCAACCATTTAAAAGTAATGGTCAAGGTTAATATTTTCTATCAGTGGGTTAAATTCCAAGGTCAAGGTCAAGGGGTCAAATTAATGGTATGGAGGTGAAGACCTTGACATAAGAAATACACATGCAAAGTATACTAGTAAATGTCCTTGCACCAACTGTCAAAAGTTATGGCGAAGGTTAAAGTTTTTAAAAGTTGGTCAAACTCCAAGGTCAAAAGGTCAAAATTGTTGATATCCAAAGGAAGGTCTTATCACAAGGAAAATACCTGTGATATTTGAATGTCTTAGTACCAACTGTTCAAAAGTTATGGCCAAGGTTAAAGTTTTATTTTAAAGTGGGTCAAACTCTAAGGTCAAGGTCAAAAGGTCAAAATATTTACACCTATGGAAAGGTCTGAATACACATGTGAAGTATGAGAGCCCTAGTACCAACTGTTCAAAAGTTATGGCCAAGGTTGGGTAATTTTTTGCAAAAGTGGGCCAAACTCCAAGGCCAAGAGGTCCAATATGTTGGTACCGAAAGGAAGGTCAGAGCATTTTCACATTATCTGATATACATGAATAACTCTGTTCCAAAATAGTTTCATGTAACATTTAGTAACAGTGACTATTAGCTAAAAAAGAACTAAACCAAAACATATCTCATGATACATCGTTCAATAATCTGGAAATTGCTTATAAGCATTTAACTCCATTGAATCTTCAAGGTGGAATCCTTCATTTTCTCGTTAAAGACACGCTCAAGCTTCTCACTTTGTTCGACAGTAAAGAAAGACTTCCAATCACCCACTTCACCTGTAGGAAATACATTCAGAACACATTTCAACATAAGATTCTGAGGAATCTCATTCTGTTCTCTTATAAGCATATATTTAATGCATAAACATTATAATAAAAGAAATGGCTGTAAATGGATATGTTATTTCAGTTTATTGATCTGTGAGTTGCGTGAACTTAAGGAATTTTCTAATAAACACCTGCATTTCACACTAATATTAAAAATCTTATATTTACTTGCTATTTAGTTTCTCATTCATGAAAACAAATATAAAACATTTTCAAATGATTCGAAAAAGATGAATAATCGAATAAAGTATATTGATTCCTCTTCGTTTTTTAAATATTAATTGAAAATAGCTTTCTTGAAAAGAATAGATTTCCCCTCGCATGGAACAAAGCTGAAAAATAGACCTAATACATTAACAATGTATATTCATTTTCTAATATGACATTTAGTCATAAACATGTAAGAATGAAAAAGGATCTTGACTTCTGCTAGTAAAGTCAGAGAATTTTTTAATCAAAGTGGATATTGATCTCTAGACTTCTTATCGCCGATATCTTGTCAATAACTACTTTATTCTTATCACTGTTGTAACTTGACCTACTTCAATTGCAATATCAAAAAATCTTGGATATGCAACTTTTGAAAAATCTATCTATATATAATATTTTGCTTGCCCTATTTCGTAAACAAGAAAAGAAAAATAATAAACATTTTCCCCTTCAAACTTTACAAAAAGAAATATAATGGACATTATTTTCAGAATTTCTTTTTCATTTTTTTTTCAATTTGCTTGGATGAATTTAAAGACAGGGATTTAAAAAAATGTTAGAAAATATATTTGCTTGCAAAAACCTGTAATAAACAGTCATTAAAATCTGATCAGATATCATGCTACTGCATTTACATCCTGAAGTAAGAAAAACAAATACAATCGATATTATATAACCTCCTTCCGATTTCACTGAAGGAGGTGACTATTAAACCTCTCTTCAAAGGTATATAAGTTTATTCTACCTTTTCTGTAGATAAACTCCCATGGTTTCCCCTTTTCTCTTTCCTTTACTTTTTCAAAGGAACAATCATCATAAACAGCTTGAAGAAATGTAGGATCGGACGAGGTTCCTAGAAAATTCGATATCTGTTGCATCGTCTCCATACCATTCTTAAATATACAATAAAACAATTTAGTTTCAGTATCTTTTAAAGAAAATACATGTAGAGTATTGAGTACATTTTGGTTCACCTTAGTATGTTTATACCGATAGTTACTTATTGAACATACTTTCTTAAGATCTTCATAATAAACAATCAATATCTTTCCGGGATTTTCTCGTGCTGCCTCTTTCCATTCTTTCTCTCGTTCAAACCAACTTCCATAGTAACACTCTGTGTTGAATATAATGAAGTGAATTTAAATGTGATGCTTCATTTTTGAATGGAAAAAATCAAGTACCTAGAATCGAAAGAGAAGAAATGGACTCACCACCACGTAAGAAATCATCCAAAAAATGGGCCCAGTCAGGATGTACGTAGTCTTTGACCATTGGGTCTGTTGTGTAATGGTGAAAAGCGGACACTGCAACATCTTTGGGGTTTCGAATGGAGTGGAAAATTTTACCATTATTTTCTTTTGGAAGGTATCGATATGGAAGGTGGGAGGTCATTATTCGAGGAGAAGGTGCATTTTGAAGCTCATGTAGATCTGATATTAATTCGAGGAATTGATTTGACATCCTGTGGCTGGTGTCCAAAGAGGAATTCAGTAAACGAGGCACAATTGCATTGAGCCAATGGTTTCCTTTCATAAAATGTAATAAATTGATCATATATATATATATATATATATATATATATATATATATATATATATATATATATATATATATATATATATATATATATATATATATATATATATATATATATATATATATATATATATATATATATATTATAATTTAATCATATGGATTATATATTGTCAACACATTTTGAGTGTCTTATCTCAGAATGCAATTTGATTTGATTTTCCCCCTTACTTTTCATTGTAAATATTACTAAATAATGATAATGTCTATATTTTTATCTTATCTTGATGTGTGTTTATTTTACAATACATCTCCGTGATATAATAAAACATGCCCTTAATGTATACAAATTATTAAAAATCAAATCCAAGGGAGTGTAGATACTTATATGTTATCCTACTCTTGAAGACCGTAGATCTGAAATTTATTGACTCGGTACATGTATTTACATGTATTTCTAAATATAATAAGCTCAGATAATACAAGCAGCACGTATACTTTCCAGCGCAATAACGCAGACAAGAACATGTAGTACAGAATAAAAGCAATGTTATAAACTTCACTGATTAAATTCTAAGGGATATATATAGTTCAGAGTTATGGGGTTTTATTGATCCATCAACTTCCAAATTTAATAGAAATTCAAATATAACATTAAATAAAATATATATATATAATTTTAGAAGGCGAAACTTTGCATCTTAAATTTTACAAACATTTACTTATGGTTCATGGTAAAAGCAGCCACTTTGCTGTAAGATCTGAGCTAGGACGATTGAATGTACACTTTGATGTCATTAAAAATATGTTGTTATATTGGGATAGACTAGAGAATCTAGATGGTGAATTTCCCTTACTTAGTGAGGCTTTTAAATGTTCCAAAACACTACACCAAAATGGAGTTACTTCATGGTATTCTTGTATTAACTTCTTACTTAACCATATTGATATTAAACTTAGTGATGTTTTAATATTTAGTAATTTTTTTTTTATAAAATAAAAAAGTTATATTTAGAAAGTGATACAAAGTATATTAAGGAGTTGATGGGGGTAACATTCAAGGCTAACAACAGATGAAAGACTTGTATAATTATTAGTTTTAATGATATGATCCCCCAATACACTCCTGTTCTTTCTGAGTTGATATCAATTTATATATTGTTGGTGATGAAAAACGATTTATGAGATGCTGTCGACAATACATACATGTAGTTATTATTTCATTTTTTTTTTATCTTAGAAGTATTGAGTGGGTACAATATTTGAATATCTATTAATTTTCTAAGACACTACCCAGCTCTAAAATAAGTCTAAATGAATTAATCCAGTTCATCTCTTTTCCAACCTGTAATAGTCATCAATTTATGTATTGATTTTAATTAACAGTATTTTTCTTTCAGATGCTTTTGAAAGTCATAAAATAACTTTCAATAATAAACTTGATTTAAAATGAAAACGTGTTTTTTTTTAAATATTAAGTAGTTAAGTAAATTATAAACAACTCTCTGTTTTTAAAGTCTAGGAATTTCTTAAGTTCTAAAATTACAGCTTTACTTTTAACATTAAATAATTAAATAAGGAAAAAATACATTGGTAATTATTTCCCACCAAGACCTTTCACCCACCTTTTTCAGCGTGTTCAGCTAATTAGTAACCTAGGAGCAGCTAGTGTGTAAATTTGTATTTTTCCGATTTGGAAAAGTTTACTAGAACATTGACAGTAAGTTGACTTTTTGGCACTCTTAGTTCATATTGATACATTCTTATTCTCATGCTAATAACTGTTTAAATAAAAGGAGGCATATAAGAGAATTTATTAAATTATTTAAATTTGTCAAATTTGATGAACTAGTTGAACATTAAATTTACATTAAACTTTGATTATTTTATCCTATTTTATGACACAAAGTATATATATATATATATATATATATATATATATATATATATATATATATATATATATATATATATATATATATATATATATATATATGCTGATGCTTCAAAATTACAGTAATTGTAATCAAACTTCCAGTTGACTGAAGTATGAGAGATCTGCCAAATAATACGAATCTATCTTAAAGTTTAGCAAACGGTTGAATGCAAGTAAGACGTACCTGACTTTGGATACGAGCTTATGAAAACGTCATCTTTCCTGGTAGGAATATTTACAATATCTGCTAGACGTTTTCGGGCATCTTCTAAGGTTAAAAGTGGTTTAAAAGCAGGGACTATCAGTCCATCTACGCTTAATTTTTCCTTAGTTGTCATAGTAGGACCATGTAGGATTGTATTATTTTATCAAAATTTAACATGCTAAACTGAAAGTTAAATTGACCCTGACCCACATTTCTCTCACATCTCATTGCGATTTAGGTCACTGATAGTTTTTAAAGCGCCCGTCTTTGTATTGCGTAATCTTATGCATAATGCACCCAGTTGTCACGGTCTATAAATGATAATTGAGTTCAATAAAAATTGCTCGCCCAAGCAAATACTTGTGATATAATAATGCACGTACAATTAAACAAAAACAGCATGTTCCCCCTCTAAAATGTGCATTCTAATTTAATAATTAACGTATGTTTATAATGTTTATAAGTTGAACTTAAAGTGCTATTATTCTTTACGGCAATCTGAGCTACAACTTTGGTGTCGGAAATTTTTCTTGCAATTTTGTAATTAACAATGGCAGAAAAAAAAAAAAACGTTTATAAACTTCTGTTGTTCATATTTGCGATGGAAGAACTACTAGTACATATAAGTTTTAATTGAAGCAAAATTACATTATTGTCGTCCTGTACAATATTGGTTTCTTATCTAATACTTTACATTCCATGATACAGAAATCGAGAAATCCAGAACTTTTCCTTGGAAAGTTCTGGATGCACAGACTGAAGTCATTCCGCCCTAATGGTATCAACAAACCAAATGACTTCACCAGGATGAACGTGAAGTAGACCCATTTCCTGATTGTAACAAACAAGTTTATTCTCTCTATATAGTGTTAACTTTACCGTTAATTTGCACTATCAATTCTGGAACAACCCACGCATAGATTTTTTGCTTACATTTTTGTTTATTATTTCTTCCAATTTCCTAATGACATTTATAATACATCTAAATTATCTTTCTTTGGTTTCTTTTTATCATATAAGGTTAAGCTATTTTGAGAGAATAAGACAGTGTATGATTTACTGCTTGGCCGTAATTATACTAAGAGAGATAACTCTGATTGGGATAAATTACATCTATTCGTCTTTACTGATCTGGTAGACGGAACATTCATAGTCAAATTTAGTTTAAAAACAAATGCCTAGGAATTGGTTTGAAATGTCATGTCAAATATGACCCAATGGTAGGTTATCAGTGCTAGCGAAGTCAATATAACGAACATAGAATTTACGAGTTGTCGATTTCAACTTATCTGTCAGTAGCATGCATCGTATAAAACAGTGCATGCTATTTAGCATCTAACATTGGGAGATATTAACGCCATATGCAGGTGATAGAGGAATATTACAACATAAATAAGGAAAATTGGCGATAGAAAAGCTGAAGTCAGTTCAGTTGTTAGTTGGCCCTTATCGTCTATAGTCAGTTAGCCCTTATCGTTTATAGTCAGTAGAAAATCCAAGTATGAAACAGATGTGGCAGACTTTGTGGTGCTTTCTATTTCAAGTTCACTGGGATACAGTTGTTAATTGATAAACTTAAATATAAATCGATATGTGTGAATGTGGAATTGAAGGCCAGAGCAAGTGTTTTCTTCTCCTCACGTTGAAAAGTTGAATAATTCTGTGTCAAAGGAATATAAAACAGGTTACCTAATGTAAGAGCATAATTTGTGCCCGGTGGAATTCCAAGTTTTTGTTGAAATACCCCGTCTCCAAAGACTACTATGCTAGAGGAACTCCAGCATCCATCTAATATAAACTTCAGAACACTTGTGCGTAGAATCAGAGTAATTTTTAACAAAGTAATGTCATTAATGACCAATCACAAGATATGAAATTTCTGAGTTCAATTTTTTATTGAAGAGACAATTGTCTATAACATCAAAAATCCTATTTTAATTTGTCGTGAGAAATGGTTATGTAATGTTAACAAAATCCATACATTTTGATATTACTTTTGAAAAAAAAATGTGATTTTAACTTTGGAGTTTTTGAGAATCCCCATCCGATTTACACCAATTCTAGAATATGCTGTAGCACAATACGTCTGAAGTTTCTCCTTCACAGTAGTTTTATTTTGTGAGGAGTAAAGGGGCTTGGTAGCGAACTATTAGCAATATATCTTTGTTTGTAAGGATTTTTATGAAGTTTGGGAATCAAGTATAGGAAGGGTTTATCACCTTCGTTGACTGGAATATATTTAAAGTATTCAGATTGAATTGTCACTTTGAAGTATTTCATTCTCAAAAGAAAACTGAGAGAATGAGCAGGATTTCCAGATTTTAAACCAAGTTCTTCTAAAATACAGTTATGATGATCATCCTTACAAACAAAACTTGTGGGAAATGCACAAGTTTGAAATAAACATATTGTTATTAAACAAAGGCACAAACAACAAATATGAAGAAGTTTGCAATTTTGAAGTTTCTATCTTCATAGTTGATAACTTACTCTGTAGAATTTGCATGCTCCCTATTGTGCTCGAATATCATATATTATGAATTAAGTTTTCACAGAACCTTTTCTTGAATTTGAGAACCAATATCGCTAGGGTACACATATGTAATTACACATATCTTTTGATTTAATAGTTTTCGCATGTTGAGAGAGGTCCTGTCTTCTTTGTTTGACCCCATGTATTTTTATTCAGCTTTAAATCAAGACTGTTTCAGGACAAAAAGTCTATAAACTAGAAACTACATTTCTTTTGATAAACTCGCTTGTGCTTTCTAAATTATGGCAGGCTGCTACATATTAAATGTAAATCGTTTTGTGGGGCATTTTTCTTTATAGACTCGGCCTTTAAACAATCCCGATTGAAACTCATTCACGAACAATTTAGGAAAAGTTTAAGATGAAACATGAAAAACTTATTGAAAACATACAAATGACTAATCCAGACATGTAGAAGATACTTCCGCAGGAATAATACTCGATTCAAAAAAGCGTTCTGCAACATGCGTAATTGCAATTAGGGTGTTACTCGTGCAAAAATGGGAGCAACCAAGTACTACATTCATGAATTAAAACAAACTTCATTAAAATACATCTTTTTTTTTTATCCATCATTATTCGTTATCTTCATCTTTTCATCTTTTCTTTTCGCCTTTTTAAGTAGCAATCTTTTGTAAGGCCCAATGTTAGAGCCAATTCCGATGGCTCGTTTCCTATGAGACGCGCTGCGCTGAAGTGCAATGGTCTGACATGATAAAGTGCGAAGGTGCGGAGAAACAATCAACGTTGATGACGTCACAATAATCCGACGTCAATCCTTGATGCCGTTGTCCGTTATTCAAAATCCAAAATTTAGATTCAGTTTGATTTTCTTTATGAAATCCATTAGAAATTTACAACGTTCAAATCTCTATAAAACGCGAAACCTTGTCACTGCGCGGTAAAATACACAGTACGAACTATATGCATTTTGAATACTCTAGGAACACCAGAATGTATATTGTTTTGACTCAGTTTAATTAAAAAAAAACAATTACCTGTTAAATTAACGTAAAAATACAACAATTTTGTGTTTAAAAAGTAATTTGTCATTTTCCCCCTAGCAATGTTCATTTGCGTTATTTAACTTTTCACGTCACAAACGGCTCTTACGTCTATTAAGCACACCAGTTATAAAAGGCGCTAAATTCATAATAAAGATTAACGAAATAATTACAGAATGTAAATATAAGTGTTGAATTCTTATTTTTGGATCTCGTCGGTCCTATAACACATCTGGCCTTGCCGACAAATTATCATACCGCGCTAAAACGGGGTATTCAATTTGTCGGCACGACCAGGTGCGTTATAGGACCGACAGCATCCAAAAATAAGAATTCAATGCTTAAATAATGTAGTATTACATATTGTATACAATTTCCTGACTTTGCTGATTGCCTGCACCCACCTGAAATATTAGGGCTAGTCTTTGCACGCCATTTGATTGAAAAAGGTTAGTCATTGCACGCCAATTGATTATTAAAGGTAAGTCCTTACACACTATTGGGCTACTTGTTGGGATAGCTTCGCACACAGCTTAGGATTAGTCCTTGCATTCTATTCGACTGATTAGGGTTAGTCTCGCTTACCAAAGAAATCAAGTTACTTGTTTCATAGTTTTATGGTTAGTCTCGCATCTCTGAGAGAATAGGGTTAGCCTCACACTCACTAGACAAATTAGGGCTTTTAGTACAATTTTATTTTGTCGTTTTCTTGTTAACTATTTAACGTACGCGATCAAATACTTAATTTCCACTCGTATTTACTCAAAACTATACCTTGTTGAGACGTGGTTCTTAATTTGGCGGTAGTTCTATGACGTGATAAAAGGTTTTTGTTTCACCATCGGATTTTGGCGTGTCAAACCATCTTGGTTTGGTGCAGACCATCGGAGTTAGGGGTGACTATCGGGCTTTGGAGTCCCATCGTACTTTGGAGGCCTACATATTTATATCCAAAATGTGCATTGAATTAGCTCACAAAAGCATTTTATGTTAAAATATTTTTGATATGTATAATATACATTGTATATTCTATACATTTCTAAATAATCTGTTATGTAGGCCGGTTTCTATTGATTCAAAGTCGTAAAAATTATTTATTTATCTAACAGCAATTAAATTAAAATGTAATAAAAATATTTTTAGTTAGGGCATATGTGAAAGATTTGCTTTTTATGAAATCATGTTAAATTTTTATTATTAACATGTTATTATTTTATAAAACATAAAAAAATTCTGTAAATTTGATTTACTCAATACATATCATACTAAAGCTTGATATTTTATTTGACTCTATCTAATGTTGTTTCCTATCTTATAGCTTCTACAATTCTACAAAGATTTTTATGTAATTTAAAAAATAAAAGGAAATGATTAAGAAAAATAAAAAGTCAGATGAAGTGTAAGACAGATAAGAAATCTCTTAATCATTCTGCTTGGTAAGTCTCAGAAACAATGTTAATGTCTTTCAAAAGAACTTGCAACAAAATCGAGTAGGTTTTCCCTGAAAAAGTGTCATTTAATATGTTCGATATCAATTGATTCTTATAACAGCGGAGGACATTTTGAACAGTAATTCATTCAACTGCATTATTGTAAATGAGTCATAGGGATAT